ATATATATATATATATATATATATATATATATATATCTCAAATATATATATATATATATATTTAAGAATTTAATTTCTTTTGGAGCTTTTTATTTCATATTTCTGAAAGCTAAACGACATTTTAGCCTACCACTTTCATCATGGTGAATCCCTTAATCTTCTGGTAAGTGCGAGTCATTGATTAATGTTTTGAACGCCTTTAGAACAGATCTCAAATTTTCGAGTACAACTAGTAGTTAAAGGACCAGGAAGAGCCACTGTGTGTACGATGCAATAATATAGAGGATTCGTGCAAGTTATCTTAAATAATGAATTCAAAATCGTATTTACGACTCGCCATCAGGAAATTTGTTAAGAATTTTCGAATTTCAAATCCTCGTGGATAATGAAAATTCACATTTATTTTTCAAGAAGCAGTAACAACAAAGACAAAAGTGCATTTTAGTGGTGGAAGGGTCGTTAACAGAAGTTTTCCAGAAATTATGAAACGAAGTGTAACAGCTCTCATGCATCTCCATAAGAAAAACAGGAAGAATACGAAACTGTAAAGGCGGCTGCTCTCGATGCGCTCAATTTTTTTTGGAGTAAAAATAGACAAACCCAAGATGATGATGCATATCCCTAAGCAAAAATCAAAATTCACCATTTTTTGTGGAATGTAGCATTACGTATAGTAGATTTAAAACACTTGGTGGAAGCACTTTTGGACAGTTTCTTATGCTCAATAGGTAAACAAGCGAAAAAGTCAACGAAATACTGCAAAAGAATTTAATTCGAGTTAATCTATGGATGCTTTTTTATAAATGTTTCTTTGTCCCTAATAAATATTGGGAAAGGAATTATGAGTGAAAAAGCTCTATTGTTACCTCCGAAAACTGCTTGTAATGTACCCGATATAATTTTCATATCGGTTTCAATTGTCTTTGCCCAGTTTTCAACGTCTCCGATTTCCTAAATAACAACAAAGACGAAAACAGAAACAATGAGAACCAAACATATATATGATTTATTGAAAATAAAACTGTTCTTGCCGAAATCCGCTTTCTGGTTACGTTAAATTCAGTTCAGCTATTTCAAAAAAAATGGATTTTTAAGCAACCTGGTTAGATATTATGAGGTCCGTGATGTTATTCCTTTTCTCAACTCATTTTTGACGAATCATTTAAGCCCCAAAATTTTATAATAATGAGTTGAACATTAACACTTAATGTTACACTACTCAGTGAATTTTTGGGATTCGAACCTTCAAAGCTTGGTTGAGTGAATCAGTAATCTGTATCCACTGTTCTGTTTGTCGCGCAAGTTCTGTGGCATTTTTCTCCAACTTTTTACTTCTACATCCAGTCGTTTCTGATTGTTATAAGCTTGAGAAACACTGCAATGAATTAAATACGGACAAGTAGTTTGAGAACTTCAGAAATTTGGTAAATGGAATATGGAAAATGGAAACCAAAGTATCAGAAAAACATATTAAAGATTATTCCGGTCGAAGGCATGTCAATGCCATAAAGTGATGAAAGCACTAACGAATGATTCAGATGATCGACGACAGCTCCTGTTAAACTTTGTGCCGCTACGATGGCTTCATTTTTCTTTTTTCTGTATTGGAAGTAATATAAATTAGTTCGCAAAGTTAGAGGATATTCAACTTTCCAAAATGCTAAATTAACTGAACAATGCCAATCAACAAAGGAAAAAAGCAATGAAAAATTCCGACGATATCCACCTACCCGTTTAGAAGGGCAAGATACAAGAATAAATATTCACCTTGCATTTCTCTCTTTACTTGTTGAGCATCATCATGTTCTCTGACCATCCTCGTCAACATCTTCCCTTTCCTGTAATTTGATTGGTATAAGGCATGCCTTCCACTACAACCGAGAAATGAAACCAACAATTGAAGCTCAACCGATGAGATATAGCAATTGCTTCTCAGTCCCGAATGGGATGTACCATAAGTTGACTAGTCAAAGAACCGAACCACGAGCCACCGCATGCCGAAACAACCTCCAACCATCAACACCACACATGCTTCTGTCTTCTAGTGCAGACCAGTCAACTACGTCTGACATGATAAGTAGCTCCATTCAGTCCAGCATAGTGCATATTACGTTAGTGCATGCAAATGATATTCTCCAAATTCGCGCAGATAAATAGCTTTTATTCGTCTGGTCTTTCTTACTAACCAGAAGCAACTCTTTTCATTTGGAAAAGGCAGATCAAATTTTTTTTTCCAAATTGAGAAATCGGAAATTACGCACAAATTTTACATCATTCACAAACGTTCACAAAGTTTGTAGCGCATTAGTCTCAAGCCTAATATCAACTTGAAATTTCATATAAAAAACAGTAACTGCACCAAAAAAAACAAGACACGTTTATTTATTAGTATAAGGCAACTAGATATGTGGTTGCACACTTCGTAAGGCACTGATTTGTTCACGTCCAAGAAAAAGTCGCTCGTCAATTTCTTGCCGTTCTGTTGTCAGACGTTTCCAAGTTTCCTTGTAAATCCTACAAAAGCGTATATATTAAGCGATCATACTGATTTGGAAATTCAACACTTCTAAGTTTAAAAGTTGGATTCATATTATCCATTCATCCCTTGAATCACATGCAACCATTGAAAATTTCAATCTCAAAAAACACAGTAGTCATAACTGAATTTTAGAAACAAAAAGAATCTACCTCCACTGTAATCTTCGCTCGTCGTTCAACCTTGAAACGATATATCTGTCAACTTCAGCATCACGTCTATCGAAAGCTTTTCTTAATATAGTTTGGTCATCTAATTGTCGTTTCAGACGCTCAATGCGAGCACTAATGAGCTCTTTATCAACATTTTCATTACTCAACGAAACTGAGTGCAAACGATCCAATTGCATCCGTAACCTTGTTTCAAGTCTAGAAAAGCAAATTCCCTCAAACAGTTTTCGAAAAACTGAAACGGCTTGATTGATAATTTAACACTTGAGAAGTTTATTAAAATGCAAATAAATAAATAGGAGTACTGCACCATAAAGAGAAACGGTCAGCCCTTCTAGAGAAGTGACGCTTCTCAATTCACAGATACACACATATGTGAGTGTGTGATTAAACCAAACATTATAAATGACTGACGGAATGTTAGTGAAAACGCAGGGCAATTAAAATAGTGAATTAAAGAACATTTCTGCAAAGCAATCCTTTTAAAAGTAAAAAGAAATAAACAAGAGCGTTTCAACTTAAGTCAGTTCTTAAGTACTTTACATAATCTGATCGAGTTATTCCTTAGGATGATTTCTCTTCCCACTGTTTCCCTCAAAATTCAACAATGACTATAACATTTTTAAATCAAAGGACATCCACTTCGTGACACATAAACTCCAAATGAAAAGAGAATTTCCGAGAAGCGTTTGCTACGTTTCTAGTACTGAAACTACAGCTAATTACCTACATGACAAACATGTAAAGAATGTAGTTTATATGTGTTGTAGTCCGGTAATATCAGAATGCACATTTAATTGTAATCATATAATGAGCTTCCATCTGTTCTTTTAAAAGTCAGGCACTTAAAAAAAAGCTTAAAAAATGCATTACATAAAAATAGTCAGCTTTACTATCAGTATATAAACTGTTTTTGAAATAAATTACTCGTCCTTCAGTCTTATTCTTTGTTCTTTGTTGTATGTCGCCCTTTCAAGTATTTTGAAATCAGACTGATGTTCAATCAAAGCAATCAATAATGATATTTCATTGCTGTAATCCGAAGAACACAGGCATACAGCTCACCTACACAGTTGTGAATTTTGTGCGAGATTCTTCGCAATTTTTTCCAGAATAGCCGAATCACCACTTTTTGTTAAGTCATTGAAGACTTCGTTTTTCAGGGCTTCGTTTAGATTGAAATCCTCATCAATCGCATTTCGTTCCTCGTCCAATATTACAATTTTGCGCGAAATTGATTCGATTAGCTACAAAAAAAAAGAAGTTTAAAAGTTAAAGAAGGAGTAATGGTACAAGTATAAAGAGGTGAGAGAAATAAGCAAAAATATTTATGAAGCAATAAAGTAAGCTTCAATAATAACTGTATTTACAGAGAGTTATTAAAAAAACGACAAGAAAGTTCAGAAAAACGTTCGAAATTTCCACATCCATTTCTGGACTCCATTTCTTTAATTACCTTCTTACGTTTCACTTCGAGTTGCTCTATTTCCTCGTTTGTCAGACTGGACTGCATCAGGGCAGTGTGAAGAGAAATGAATGATGGAGTTGAAAATAAACGGAAACTGGAATGGGAAACAATTTAAATTAATGTCATAGTAATTACATAATTTGCAACAGTCTCAACATGCTCTTTATATTAGAAAAAATGGCAACATGGTTATTTAAAACTGTCAAATTTGGACGAAAATTCTTTTCTAAAACACCTGTATCTTCAAAGATTTTAGGAAACCCAAAAAATAGGCTTTAAATGACTAAAAACAGATTAGGTCGAATTTTTTGGTATCTGCCTCATAGAACCACAGACCACTTCCTTCTTCTTGTTTGACCAGCAGTAAAAAGATTACTTTACAGTGAAGTTTCTACAAACTTCAAATAAATCCCAGAAGTTTGCAAACCTATTGCTAGTTGAGGGTGACGACTGCGTTGAAGATGAAAAAATATTCGAACTTGATGCACTCAAACCAAGTGGAGTTATTGAAGTAGATTCGACAAAAGCAGATGCCGAAGGCAGAATTAACCTTGCTGGCTTCTTTGGTACCACCGGTTTCTCGCGTACTTTTTCCGATGTAATATCAGTAGTAGTATTACTGTTTGTTGATAATGTGGATCTCTCCAAAGTAGCAATCATACTACTGGCTGGTAAGCTTGATGGCATCGGATGCACCTGTACTGTTGGTTTGCCACCTGTAAAGGCATGATAATCGAAAGGAAGACAAACAACTGCAACAACAATAAGTTTTTGCAATGAAAATGAATAACAACATGGTAAGAGGAACAAAGTAAAATGATTTCCATTGTCCAATGTTTTGATGACAAGTGATTAATAATAATAATGAAAGGTTTCGTTAACAAATAATAAGATTGGCAAGGATTTGAACTGATATTCAAACTGAATGATCATTAAAAAAGAAACTGGCTTGATTTTAAACGGTCCAGAACACCCTTATCAATCTAACTAGGATTAGATATCAACGATAAGGGCTTCTTACATTGTTCACGACTTCTTTTAGAAATCATCAAAAAGAAAAAGGAACCAAGTATTTATCGTTATAGTCATTACCAACAGGAGTGAAAAGCCCTGCAACAGAGTACTTACAATAAATTGTGTGACCCTAGTTTTTAGATCTGAATTAAAATAACAGATAATAAGAACAAAGTTAAAAATGAAGATACTGATCTGATAAGACCTCTGCTCAGGACTGTTTGAAATATGTGGAAGGCCACATATTTTCTTTTTTTCTTGACATACTTTGAAATTTTTATCTAGAATTTCAGAAGTAACTTCAAAAATCAAAAGTTCCACTCATAGATTTCTTTAGTAAAGAAATACGAACAATTTAACGAAATCAAACAAGTCAAATTAATTCTATTTTTTTCACAGATGCTTCAGAAGTCGCTAGCTCATATGCTTACAGGATTGCTTCTGTTTTGACTAAATAGCTAACTTTTTAGCCATTATGATAGCCTATCCATTAAAAAACGAAAAACTGTGTCTTTTTTCGAAATAGAAAAATAAAAAATAGTTATGAAAAAAATTACCCATAATTGTTTGCGAAGCAATGTTGCCGCTGTTTTGAAATGTAGCAGGTGTGAATGTCGCTGAAGAGGAACTAACCTTACCCATAGAAGTTGTTGATGATGAGTGCACATATGTATTCCTATAAAAGTCGAGATTTAATTCCAATTAATAAAGCTTTTACATAATTTCAAACTGAAAATGACCGAAAATTTGCATTGACGAAAGAGAACTAACCTAGACAAAGACGTAATAGAAGGAGAAGTAACAGGAAAAGGCAGTTCTTCTGGTAAAATTGATTTGTAACCGCCAGATTCAATCAAGGATCTATAAGCACTTTTTTCTGGTTCTGACTGCGTATGGCTAAGCTCCAGATCGCATGAGTTAGTATTAGACGAAATGGCTTTTAACCATCTGCAATGTATCTATATACGATGCCAAAAAATATAATAATGAGGAAACAATATGAGAAAATCGTAACAAAAAGCAATATTACAAGGATGAGAAAATATGTTAGAACATGTTTCAGGAAGATTTCCGTGCGTAGAACACCGTTTAATTTCAATCTTAAAAAGAGCTAACTTAAAACTGACTATTTCTCATAGAAGAGAAGTAACTATGCAAAACTTAGCCAAAGAGATTCAGCAAAAAAAAAAAAAAGAGAAAACGAAAACAATTTTTGCGAACTTCTTGGTCTAAACATGATTCAGCGATACATTCAATTTTATTATATTATCACATTTTTTAAGTGTTGATTTTTTGGGACACATCCACTAACAAATGTTATGGATTAGCGACAAATTTGAAAAAAATTTTACTAATTGCTGCCCTTTATATGCAACATAGATCCTTTTATTAATCCAAATATTGTTAATCACTTGCTCGGTCAGGAAAAGCTACAATCAATTAAACATTCTGTCAGGACATATTATTGCAGCCTTAATCTTGACTTCTGCAATTCCCTAATTAACTGCTCTGAATAAAAAATAATGACCACTCCATTTAACCAGATTCCATCAGCTTATCTAGTTAGAAAAATGACGAAATAAGTTTTTGGTATATATTGCTACCTTTACACTGTTATTACAGTGTATCATTGTTCATTAATAAATCTTTGAGGCAGTTTTTATCTTTATAGATTTTTTTGTTATAAACGCTCCTGCACTACGTTAAAGATATAATGCTCCATGCCACTTTACGTTCCTAAATTTCACATGAAAGGAAAGTAACAAACTTCTGTTCCTGCCGTTGTCGTATTCTTTTCTGTGCACCAGAAGGTTGTCTGTGTAACATGTGGCCTTCAGCCACAGCAATGTGAGCTGATGTACGAGTTGACTGAAAAAAATACATTTATGAACTCCGGAAGTTTACCAGCACCAAATACAATTGCTAGCGCTGAAGGCAAGGAAGTACGAGGCTTACAGCAAGGCTCTTATATAATTACAAGCGAAGGTCTGTACATTAGCACCGTTTTGAAATCAGTTTCGAATTTGAAAACCCATGTCTTGCTTTAAAACTTTCACATTGATAAAATAATTACAATTTAAAACTCTTATTATAAAAATATAAGGGCTTTAACAAACATAACTGAACGTTTAAGTGTTTTGCGGCAAAGTGAAGGGATGATGGCAATTAACATATCATAGCTTATCGTAGGCATTTCTAAACACTGCTAATTGAAGTTCTAGCATAAAATTATTTTATTTATTCATGTTGATGTTCTTTTAGATGTGTCATTTGAATGATCCTATGGAAGTGGTAGGACAAATGTAAATGTATAAATGCATAAATATAATATTTATCATGAAGCGCATGATTCTCCAACAAGTTTTATATTCACGATTGAGTTCACTAATTTTTGCACTTCGTATTTCGCGTCCATATTTTTAAGCGGGAACTCTGAATTCCAACTTGTCAGAATAAAATTTTTAAGGAAAAATTTTGAATTTCTATGTTTGAAACGAAGCTTCGTAACTGCTCTTAAGTCCAAATGTCGGGTGGATAATCACTAATTACGTCAACGTCAAGTTCTTTACTTGCTCCTAGCACTAAAGCTTCCACTTGCCACTGAGTTTTTATAAATTCCTCAGGTTTATTAAATACTACGGGAAAACCAAATCAGTCAAAACATTCCAGTAACAATGTAAAATGGAGAAAATAATGATAATTCTATGGAAATTTCAAAAAATTACTAGTTGCTGAAAGAAAAACCACTTCAGGATATCTGGGCACTTTTCCATCAACATTCCCCGTGGCAGTTTACAGAAACAGGCATGAACAAGCCATGTTCAGTGAGAAAATATTTTTTTTCTTGAATTTTTTGGAAAAATATTAGTTGTTTTTTTAGATGAAAATAGACTTTATAGAAGCTATCGAGGAAATTTCGATTTCCAAATCATTTTTCAATGATAAAGTTATGGAGTTGTTCATTTCTACCAACACAAACCAAACTTATTCAGAAAATCCTGAAAAACGAAGCGGAATTTCCAAAATGGCAATTGAATTTACCGGAAATAATAAATATAATCACTGAATCCTTTCCAAAAACTCCGCAGAAAACATGTCATTCATAATTTGACAGACTTTTAGAACGCCTAAAACTTGCAAACCTGCTGCAGCTGCTCGAAGATTTTCTTACTTGCCATACGATTCTTGTTTGCCAACGTCAGTGCATCGCCATTATCACCATATTTCATTTCAAGCATTGTTCCAGAATCTAATCATTTATCAAAATCTCTGCAAAATGCAAAAAAAAAAATACAAAGGAATCTCACGTTAAAATTGCTGTCCTATTTCTAAAGCGTAAGGATGAATTTAATTTGCATCGTGAAGCGGAACACATACTGCGGTCAACACCTCACCCATTTAAAAGTGAATAATGAAATGACGTAATTCCTTTGTAATTCCCTTGCTATACCTGTTCATTACTGCCGGATAGAGCTAAGAAGACAGCACTGAGTGGAAGAAATACAAATCAATACTGAAAATAATAAAACATAACATCTATAGGATATTTCTAATTTACCAATCCAGTCGTCAAGGTAACCGACGTCATAATTAATCAAAAGTTATGGAATGAAGGAAAGACCATATTATCAGGATGATCTAACTAGAGTAGTAGTTAGCCAGAAAAGAGTAACACTGCTCCTTGAAATGTGAATAGGAAGTGGTTACTGATAAAGAAAGGCAATGTCATACCGTAAAGGATAAGGTTTAGGATAAAAAACTTCTGTCCTGAAACGAACCCATGTGGTATACGAAAAGTTTAACTTTACTACATGACATCATTGCTATTACAAAATGAAGTTTGGATAAACTTGGTCACATTCACTAATCATGGTATAAACAAAGTGTAAAGTAAATGATAATAGAACACCTTATTATATAACCAGAAGTGAAATAGTACAGACGGACAGACATACATAAACCCTTACAAACCCGAATCAAATCTTATCCACTCCAGTAACTTGTCATTTGACGAAATGCATTGTTATACAAATATATTGTATATATATATATATATATATATATATATATAT